TTTTGTAGGTTGATCCTTAGTATTTGAGACACAAAAATCAAGGATATATCCTATTGCAGATCCTTGGATTGGGTGAATAGTTTATAATAAAGACCAAAAAAGGCAATGACTTCTTAATAATGAAATAACAAATAAAAATAAAAAATTGTAAATGATCGAGCCTTTTAACCAATTGACTGACCATTTGGGCAAAAAATCAAAAAGAATTGTAAATAATCATTTGATGAAACAATGGATCAAAAAACAAACCCTTGACCATTTGGATATTTAATAGAATAAAGTAACGAAAAAATAAAGATTGACCACTTTGGACATAAAAGAATTCATTTAATGAAATAAAGGATCAAAAAAATAAAGCCTTTTAACAATTGACCATTTAGACATAAAAGAATTGTAAATTATTTATGACCATAACGGATCAAATTGTAAATAATCGTTTATTATTATCACTATATTTTATTTGTCACGTGTGCACCGTTCGAACGGTCCATCCTTTTGGTTTATTTTTCTATATTTATATATTTATCATATGTATTATTATATCTGTCAATTCTTTATTATTTCTTTATAAATTAAAAATCAAGAGATCGTCTGTTAAGTTATCATAAAACAATAAACATATCTTCTAATCAATATATCGTTGATAAAAGGATCACTCTTAAGTAAATAAATAAATTGACATTAAATATCGAGTTATTATCTTAACAGTTTATTTTATTATTTTATTCGTATTTTCTATTTTGGAGATAAGAGATTATTTACAAAAAAATAATTTAAAATTAACATTAAATAATCTTTAATATTTATGTACACGTACAAGAATTTTTATCTCGATAACTACATTATCAAAATAAAAATTTTATATCTAAATTTAAAAATAAAATTTTAAAATATTCATTTGACAAAGTTATAATTTTTCTTTCTGTGTCTAAACTAAGTTCATGGTCATCTTCATATACACTTAACACTCCATCCCAATATAAATTTCTCAATCCTTTGACCTTTGCTTTTATAAAAGCCATCTTCTCATCTTCGAGGATAGCTTTCAAACAATCATTCTCTAACGAATACTTGCATGTGTCTTTGCTTGTTGATACTCTTTTTTCTTGATTGTTTATATTTGTGATTGCAGATGTACTAAAATTAAAAAAAGTTAAGAAAGTTAGCTGTTGATAGAAATTAGGTTACAGCGTAGGTCATAATATTTAATACATCATAACGAGACAACTTACTGCTTGTTTAGAATATTATATATTCTTGCAAGCTCTACAAGTTTCATTTCTTTTTGTCCTCACAAATTTTTTCGTTATTTGAATACAATTTTTTTTTTAGAAAAAAAAATAAAAAGTTGGGACAAAGTAAAGAATTATACTTAGGGATAAAAGTTATAATAATTACTATATAATTAAATAATAATTAATTAAACTAATTAAACAAAAGAATGATATTTTTTTTAATTAATAAATATTGTGATTTTGTTAAATTAATTTAATGTTAATAAAAGAGTGACAACGATATTAATATGTAAATTGGTATATAGTTTGCGTCATCTAAAGACATCAAATGCTGTGCCGAGTCAATTTTCAAATTAGTAGTAAGGTATTATCTGTATATTATAAATTCGAATTACATTGAAAGTTTATTTGAATAAAGGAAAAAACGAATAAACAAATAATTCGAATCGGATAAACGAATAAAACGAATAATTCGAATTTGAATAAAAAATCAGGACCGGAAATAGTACCAGTCACAGGACATGTCACGCATATAAAATTTTACAATCAAATGATCATTTAATACCCAAATTTGAGATATAACTTCTTTATCATATGTATCTGCTTTAAGAAAATTTTTAAAGCGGGTTGTTAATAAAACCAAAAATAATCTGACCCTCAAAGTCAAATTTTGCCTTTATGTTCATATACATACATAAAATTTTGTTTGACGCGTCCAATTGCAAGTATAAGGAAATAAATGTCCAAATATTACATTATTATGAATATTTACAGATTTTTGATCGCTTAGGTATGTTTTTTATAGTAAAATCGTTTATTTTAAAAGTAAATATAATAAATAAATAGATACTAAAAATTTCCTTTACCTACACTACCTGGACAAAAGTATTTGATCACGTGTTTGCACTAATTAGTAAAAAACCTTATGCACCTAGGTTTTGATAATTATATATTCGAAATTTCACGTTGCTATACACTGAGATATAATAATGTAAAGATATTCAATAATTTAATATTGTTACTAAAAATTTTTTAAAGGCATCAAAATAATTATATGGCGTTTCCATTTTTACATAACCTAGTTATTTCATCCCAATTGGTTGGATACAAAGAAACATTAGATTGATTATCCATATCAAAGGATCAAAAAGATTAAAATTATTCTTCCATTAATGATTGAATTACTTATATAAGAGATGGCTTTAATGATTCTGTTGTAAATCTGATCATGGATTAAACTTTCATTTTGAAAAAAAAATTAAATTTTTATATTTGCGATGTAAAATTGTGTTTCGGAAATTGTTTTGGCACTTATTTGGTTACTAGAATATCTGTCACCAAAGCTTGATACAGATATTGTTGAGACATAATATTTTCATTTATTTATAGTGGTTAAAGTCGAAAACCTGATAAATTCCAGGATGGGTCCTATAAACCCTACCCCTTCTAAGTCCCAGGATGTGCAAAGTAATGATAACTCAGTTTCGCAAGTGGATTTTAAAAAACTTTATGATATAGTGGTGGGTTTGAAGGAAACAATGGCTGGATCAAAGCAGACTCTGTCAAAAAATCCAGGTCCTGGGAAACAAAAAGTGGATGAAATTGCCATGAATAAATTTTAGATAGTGTGGCGGATAATACAGGTCAACCTGAGGATGGTTATGACTATGATCCAGTAGAAGATTTGAGATTACAATTTGAGCAGTTGGGTGTCAACCAGGCAATGGCTCGAGTAATACATGCCGTTTTTAAGAAATCGTCCAAACATAGGTGTTCTCTTTGTAATAAAAGTGGATATAATTCCTGCAATTGCCCTAAATATAAAAAGAGAAAACATAGGAGAGAATCCAAAAAGAAAAGCAGGATTAATATAGCTAGTATAGATTCGAGTTCCAATTCTGGTGCTAGCTCCTCTGACAATGATTCTAATACTGGTGTTTCTTCTGATTCCGATGGACCCGAATCCGAATCTGAGAATATTACTGAAATCGTTCAGAATATAATCAACACTGCTAAAGCAAAAAAAAAGTGAAGCAAAAGAATGGTGAGTCAAAGACTCGGAGTTCTACCCCCTCAAATAAATCTTCCTCTGGGAGAAAGTCCAAAACTCGTAAAACAAAACAGAGTGAAAAAATAACTTCCTCTGATAAAGGACGAAATAGTAGAGCTAGTGTGGCTAAACCAAATCTTATTGATAAATCCCTTCAAAAAATTATACTAAATATGTTTGATGGTATCCTACCTGTAGATTTGATAGAAAAACTTAAAGCAAAGATTGAAAATTCATCTAATATAGTTGCGCCTATTCAGAAACAAAGCTTCAAGTCTCCAAATCAACCAGATTTCACAAATTATTGAGAGCCAGTCCCAGAAATACTAGATGAAGATGAGGAGGAATCATTGGAAGACCATATGGAAATAGACTTCGTTCAGAAAAAAGAAGCCACTACAAGTATCGCAACTATAAAATGTAAAATCAAGTGCTTAAAAATTCCTGCAATGGCATTGGATTCCACAGCAGAACTTGCAATTACATCAGAAGACATTGTTAAGCGCATAGGTGAAAAAATTGATAAATCGGAAAAGTATGATCTCAGTGGCATTGCTACCATTCCAACTGAATCTATTGGTGTGGTTCGTAATTTACCAATAACGTTCCTCCCAGGTTTCACCATACATGAAGATTTTGTAGTTGTAAAACATCATAAGCCAACATTAATATTTTCGAACCCTCTACTAAATGTGCTATAGATTGGGCCAAAGATGAATTGAAGATTCCCTTTAATGGAGAAGATTTTATTATTCCAGTCACTATGCAAAAGGTCAAGAATAAGCTCGAAGTAAATTGTGTAGCAGTGGTAGAAAATACTGATACCGCTATCCCAGATCAAATCTCACAGGAAATGGGTGAATCATTAAAAAAAACACATGAATTGTGAAGAACTTGAAAAATCGTTATACAAGGTTCTTGATTTTAACACCAAATTAATTGATGCTAATAAAATTTTACGAATGCGAATGATACATAGTGTCGCCCCTTTGGGCCTGTAGAGCCCCAATTAGTAAGAAGTCAGTAACCGTTCCGCCTCATTTAACGTCTTTTTTGTTTCCATACGATTGTCCTTAAGTATGTTATACAGTTTATTTTTTTCTTCTGCTTTTTTTGCAGGAGCAGGAGTATCATGAATCATTAGATTCGTCCCCTCATACTCGCTTCAGAAGTGAGACGAACCATTATCAGTTGTGCCAGTTTCAATCATATTGATTCCGCCATCAATAATAGGTAAATCGGAATTTTTCACAGATTTAGATTTTGACTTATTTTTCTTTATCTGCTTCTCGTAATGAAACTCTATAACTCTCATAACTGTTGAATTGTAACTCACATCTTGTTGGAGACGCTCTCATTTTTTCCATATATCAAGAACGCGCTCTTCACGAATATGGTAATCTTTTTTATTCTATATATAGGGACTTTATTTTTTTTTGCATTCTAATTTCTTCAATCTGCTCAGAGGTTAAAACTGTAGCTTTTCGTCGATAATAAGTTTTTAAAAATGGTGTATTCATGGTCCGATTTTTGATCAATATTTTAGAATGATAAAAAATAATGACGAACAAAATGTAAACGTTTTATATTGATAAAAAACTAGAATGGCGAGTAACAGGTCAATAATCACCACCACTATTTTTAATACAATAATACCATGCAATTCTTTTATTTTAAAAGAGGATAAATGAATACATAATAAATAAATATATTAAAAAAAAAAAATACTTTTTTTTAATGAATTAACAACAGTTATTTTTTTTTCATTTATTTATTATTTTATTACGTTGCATCATAAAAATTACATATAATCATTAATACGTCCCATTTGTAATCAACTAAAAATTACCACATGCACTTAAGCCATTAAACATGATACATTTTCCATTAAACCATGATTTAACTTGTGTTGGAGTAGATCCCTTACTTAGAATTGTATTTATCTTGATTTTACTGAGTTGATGATGGATTGATTGATCCATTTTGAAATTTTAAAAAATAGCATTTTTTATTATTATTATTATTTTCTGCTCTTGTAATGGAATTAGCTTTGATAATCCTAAAATAGTCCGTTTCTTTAGTGCT